ATGAAGTCACGTGATGTACTCGTGATTGACGACGTGGACCGCAATTTGCTTGAGCCTTGCAGTAGTACTGATTAGGAAGGTTTAGGGCCAAGATGGGAACTTGGCATTGTTAAGTCTGCACCACGCCATATTATATGTATATATTGATTTGTTCATAGCATGAATCTTCTGTTTATTTCTTATAACAATTTTTCGTTTGAACAGTATGGAGTYGATGCGCGGTAGGCGAWTTATRTAGGGAAAGTTTATTAATTAATTSACGCACCCAATAWKTKYMTTTAATAAAACCTCCTCRGCAAGCAACCTACTGGGCTTCCTTTRCCATGRGGAGAGTCCGCAATAAATGGCTGCTGAGAAGCTTTTCATCAATAAGTAATTAGATTAATGAATATAGAGAAGAAATGCCGTTCTGTATTCAGCTTAGTTATGTAACGCCATAATGAATTGTGCAATAATGAGAAAAGTAAACTGTGAAGATTACTCATGTAAAGGTGTGGAGTTGGTTCAGTTCAACACATGATGTATTATTTGTCGTTGTTTGTTTGTAATAAGTTTTCGTATAATGCTACGACAACTTTAATTGTATATATTGGTAAATTTAAAATAAGGGCAATTCAGCTGTTTCATAACATGAGCCTGTGGTTTATTTTCTATGTCAATCCCACGTTTAAACAGTATGAAGTTTATGCGGTAGGAGAGTTATTATTTAGAAAAGGTTCATTAGTTAACTTATTTTTCTGAGTAACCAATATATGTCATCAATACCCTCCTCCACAGAATACCCTCCTCCACAGAATACCCTGCCGCTGACTTCCCACGCCGTGAAGAGAGTCAGTGGGCGAGCCTACTATCAAATGATTAGATTACCTCGATGAATTAAGAGAACAAATAAATAGAACATTGGTAAGCATCGGCATCAATAAAAACATAGGGAATATCTTGAAAAAGAAAAAGAAAAAAAAAGTCTATTACAGGAGCTCAAAATTTGCACCTCCACCCTCAACCCCTTATTTTTGCTTGAGGTAACTAGCACTGCTTCCATTTATGTAAAATAAAAAAACAGCTTTGGGGACTGTTTGGTTGGACACACAAACTGCGAAGACTACATCTCCCATCATGCTTTGCTGTAGAAAATGTCCTCGCAGTGCCCATTCACTTAATGACCTTCCGGACAAGTTTTGAACGAAAAGCTAGTTAATTTTGTTTGTAAATTAAACCAAGACAAAGCGAAATTACCTACTTTGATAATTGTGTTAAATTTATCAGAACTTGGTTTAAATTTAGCTAACTATATGTGGGCGGCACTCGGCTAGATTGTCAGCAAAGATGAAAGTATATTTTGATAGGATTCCTAACGATTCCTATTTGTGAAAAAACAGATGTTGTGTTGATAACAACTTCCTATCTGAGTGAAGACACTTTTTAAGAAAAGATCAAATAAATTTTGAATTGAAGGACTTTCAAATATGCAAATTGGGACATGGAGACTATTCACTGAAAGTAACTGATGTGCATTCAACTATTATGAGAACTTCAATGTCTTGATACGTTTGATTTGCTGTCCGATATCAATTCTTTGGCAATCCTGGCTTTCCTATCTAATTAATACTATAAATATTTGATATTTTTTAGTCCGCTTGATTGAGAAACTCCCTCCTCAGATTTGACCCTTTCTATTAATACTTAAAACCTTTCTTGAAAAATATATTTTTCCCTTTATTTTTCTTCCAGTTCCACTTCTATTCTCTCACATTKTCACCTGTCCTGATAAACTGACGGCTYGCCGACATTGAAAAGGCTGATTGACTACACTATGTGGGCGGATGTGTTCATTTAGAAAGAAAATGATTCGGATTGCGCTCGCGAAGGAAATCTATACATTTGATAAACGCATTTCATCATTGAACAAACTAAAAATGTCAATATTGGCGAATCTATACAAATATCACTGCAACCATAATTATAGTGGAGTGCGGAGGGAGGGAGGGAGGGGAAGGGCTTGGTAATTATGCTTTACGCAGTAAAGTAGGGTGTGGTGAGGCAATCAATGGTTTGATCAATATGTCAAAAATGGATAAACAACGTCTTAGACTACGTGAATAGTGGCCAGGAATCTTGTGGACGGCGACTGCTTGCTGCACAAACACAGCACTTCAACATCAATAATAATAATAGCTAGTTATAATATCCTGCAATGCCCATTTGATAATATGCTAACTTTATTCAGGGTTCTATGATTATAGACATCGCTCGTGACGTCATGAAGGAGGGCTCCGGCTCCGGAAACCGAAAATATGGCCAGTTCCTTGTTCGTTCTCTAAGCAGTAGTAGAGAGCAAGAATTAATTTTGATGGAGCTGCAATCCCGTCAAAGTATCTATCGACATTGTCATGATCTGCCGATATAAATTCAGATAATAAATTAAGGAATCCTTTCAATAGGTCAATCAATAAAGGATCAAGACTGTCTGCGTCCTCACTACTACGTCCTGCTACTCGTTTCCTGTGACCATGTTTGTGCAAAACCGTTTCACATTTCACATTTCAACAATGTGTCAAATTCTTTCACGCCAAAGTGTTGAATGCAAAGTGTATTCTCGCCGTTCCATTAGTCTTTAAAGCCTAATGTTATCATATTTTAGCGAAATAGATCAGATATGGAAGAACTGCAACTGCAAAGAGCCACTGACAAAATGACATTTAGGCGGGAGTATATCGCTCAATATAGAAATTAATACAGTGAAAATATTAAACTATATAAACTGAACTATTCATTGATGATTATTAATTCAATATGAAAACGTTTTGGTAAACACTTGAACTGATAAATATAGAAAGTGAGAGGTCAGTAATTTTCACATATTTGTGGGCTTGTATTGGACCTTGTCTAGAAATAGAGGAACCATTCTGTATTGGCTTTACATATAAAATGTGTAAAAAGTGAGCGATAATTTCAAACACATACAAATTACATTATGAGCATAAAAATCCCGTTTGAAATATGATAAATAATCTTTTTGAATCTCTTTTCTATTTAGTGAGAGGAGGACGCACGTAATTTTGAATAAAACAAAAGGCTTATAGTTGTCATGACAACTAATACATCATCAGTAGTTCCTTCCTTGTCATTTCTCAATAATTAGTGCGAACATTTCTTTTATATTTGCCTTTATATTTTCATTTCGTTATCAAGTCACTCTGAATTYCTAATGAAATCAAGCGAGTTTTTTTCTTATTCTAATTAATGTGGGTTATTTGGTCAAAAACATGGAAATTGGGGCCACGAAATAAGGTTTTTTTGGTTGACTCGGAATMGTTCATTCGGTCGTCTTGACGTCACGATTTCAAACCGAGAGAAAAAGTGTTTTGTTTTTCAGTCGTTTTAATGGAATATGAGCCGAAATACAACCGTTAAATTCYACTTGAGTTGGGCTTGGATTAAACATTTATGTTGAACTCATAAATCTTTTCTTTTCAGGTTTTGTGGARGGCGACGCAAGAGAAAATCCAGATGTACTAAACCTCTTTTGTTTTTCGGAATAGTTTTATTCATTGAAAAAATAAAGCAATAACGATAGCAACGGTGTAGAAATTATCACTAAAAGGRAAAGTCTCTCGGGAGTACCGAGTACAGTTCTGAAATATCACAGTAGGGTTTATTTCYCCCGAACAATTCGTAAAGGTCCGCAAGGTGCCCTAATTCTCCACATTTCCATGTTTTCTTAAGTCGTCAGTCAATAAAGACCTTCCCAATAGACGATAAATACAAAATGGATTAAATATCCCAATATTTTGCTACTTTTCATCGCCGCAAAATCTAAATCAAGCTCTGATTTTGCGATGTTATGCCCAAATAAGGCGAATATGTCCCAAGATGCATTGCGCTGTATAAAAACTCGATGCGTTCGCCCGCGAAGGTCCTCGCGAAAAAATGATTAGAAGATGGTCATGGGGTTGAAAGTACGGTGATGAAGTACACGTTTTTCTTTTTCCTTCTCTCTTTTCTTCGTAGTAGTGGATGGTGCCGTGCTTTAGGTAAGTTTAGAAATCGTTCTTGTGACAGAATGTGTTTATTTGCGGGTTTTTTTCACGGCTTAAATTGTCACAACTTTTCCTACAGGTTCTGCTTGTCCTGAAGAAACATGTACCCTGGCTAACCGAGAATCGTGTAGTTTGGGTTCAATTCAATGTGGCAGTTGCCTCCAAGGATTTTTTGAAGTTGAGGGAGCATGCCTACGTAAGTTCTACTTGATAATTTTGATATTTTATTCGTAGTAAGCGCAAATTTTGGCAGTGAAGTGAAAAGCAAATTTGATCAAGAGATAGCGAGCTTTGCTCGACCAAGAGAAAGCAGTGGTGTTTACTGTTTCATAATTTATCGATATTCTTATTCTGCTGAAGAATTTTATTCCTTGTTTTAAGAATGATAGAAAGAAAAGTTTATTTAACTTGAAATATGTGTAGTAATGCGAAAAGTTGAGCTGAAGTATGGATATTATTTTCCGCGTCTTGCTCGAGTGACCCGAAATATTTTGAAATTTTGAATTAATTTTAAAGCTACGTTGGGTCAACCCCTTAATCTTGGCAACATTACTCTCTTTTCACTACAAAAATACGCTAAACATCGGCATTGACAGGAAGAACAGCGAAATATATGTTTTTTCGTTATATTTTTCTATTTTTTGTTGGTAAATTCTGTTGTAATCAGGACGCCACGAAAAGTCTCGCTTCGCTAGCTCGAAAACGCAAAAATTCTAATTAGACGATACGAAATATTGTTCTTATTGTGTTAAATTCTATAAGAATTATTTTCGCCTTATTTAAAAGCCTGCAATTTCGTTTCGGAAGGGCTGTATCTCCAGTAATATGCAGTTTAATCTCCTCGCGGTTGCGAAAGTGCTCCGACTGACCACTAGATGGGGGGTTTTATCAAAACAACTTGAGTATAATGTTGGTCTTTGCCCCGTCTTGGTAGTCAAATATAAATCATTGGAGTGTATTTTTGATTGAATTATTCTTGTTTCAGCCATTGAATCGAGTCCCAACGACGATGACWCTTGGGAGACCGAGTTAGAAGGAACCGATGGGAGCGATTTAAACGTTTTATTCGACGCAACACAGGCTCCGTCGACTGAAAAACAAACAGAAAAACAACWCAACTCGCCAGATTCTTCCCCTGATTCGATTGATTTTACAACTCCTTCTGCGCCAGCAACTGCAGYRGAGGAAAATTCAAATAATTTACACAATAAAAACTATGATTTAGWAGGAAAAGTAGCGGCGAAAGACGCCGAATCGTCAGAACATGGAACAGAACACGACTCGAAGMAAAATGGAGCGAAAAAAATCCAGTCTTCAAATGATTTTAAATCCAAATCCAAAGAATTAAAAAATAAAGAGGACGCCAATCGGAAACGAAAACTTCTATTGAAAAAGCAAGACAAAAATTTACAGAAAAAGMATAAGGAAATGGATGAAGAAAAGTTGAACAAATTTCTCTCGAAGAAAGACAGCAGCGACAAAGTTATGTCCTCAGAGGACGGAGTGAATTTGGAAGGGAATTCCAGCTCTAATCCACCTCCGTTCATAAGAAAGCATAAAATTGGAAAAGGGGAAGAACCAAAAGCCTCGGAAATGGACGACATTTATTTTCTGTGTAAGTATAATTCTCTTTTACTATAACGAACGAAAAATTGTGTATGTAATTTGTTGTGGTACTAGTATTAGTTTTTCTTTGATTTATGCCTCTTGATTTCGTAACTTTAATTTACTGCATATATATGATTCTTTTAACTTTGTTTTTACGGAAAGAAATATACATTTAGCCAGCATATTTTATGAAAAAAGCATTTCCCATTTTTTCATTTTCCATTTAATTATTTTTGAAAAAGATCTCATAGATATTATATACTAGTACAAAAAGAGCAAATATGCCATGAAGTTTCATTTTGATTTTACATGAAAACAAATCTTTATGACTACTGCATATAATTCAGACAAAAATGTTTTTCCCATTTTTCATCTTCTGTGACAGTATTTCATTTGAAAATATGAACTTTTTGTAAGTATGAAATATCTATCATAGTCAAAAAATAGTGATTGAGCTGTCTTAGCTTATTATACTAGAAAACATTTTCTATTTCCATTTGATTTCCATTTCACTTCTTTTTCAAGTTTCCATTTGAATATTTCATGCATCTTTTGTTTGCTGAAGTTACTTTTTTAATTCCCATTTTTTAATTCCATTTCCCATTTTTCAGTCAATCTGAATGTTTGATGGATCTTTCCTGTGCTTTGAAATGCCTACACTGTTAGTGCTAAAGATATGTGTGGGTGTCGGGGTGTGATGAAAATCAGATAGGGAATTYCTATCCATCWTCTTTAACCCCACAAAATACCACATCAACCAATATAATGGAGTTTTTCTAACCAATAGAATTTAAAACTCTTAAAATATCTTGAGATACTACTCTTGTATTCAAATGTTGTGCATTGTTATGCACATAACATATGACATTTTCTGACCACTATAATTCAATATGAATATTATTTTTCTTCTCGTGTCAAGAATATTTTAAAACCTACATGTTTGTCTTTCTTTTCCCTGGACAAATCTTTTGATCTGTTTTAAATCCAAATCTGAAAAATAATTTAATTTCAATTTCTGATGTTTATATTATATATATTTTATACTTGTGAAAAAGCCTTTATTTATCAGTATATAGACTTTCATTTACAGAACAGACATCTAATAACTCAATACATCAAACATGAGATTTATGAAGTGTTTTTAGTCTTATTTAGAAAATCAGGTTTGGGGAATTTAATTTCTGTGTCTGCTCAAAGCCACTCTATAATGTATATATTTTAGCGCCTATTTTATCATTTACTGTCATGTTTTTGTCTTTTTAATATGTGGGTTTAATCCTTTTGTATTTTGTAAGAAATACACTCAAAAATCTGTGTGAATTCTCAGCAAGACATGCAGATTTCACTCAATGAATTGAAAACATCCCACAAAATGTTATCTTGGTCAATTATGATGTTGACAAAAAGAGAAAAATAACAGAGGAAGGAAATACAATTTCTAATTAAGATTTAGTCGTTATTTTTGCTCATTGAAAAAATAAAAATAGTATGCAATCTTATAATCCACCCAACTAAAAATTCAAATTTCCAGCTGTCCTTACTATCAGAATTTTGTGATTTCTTTAAATGATATAGTTTTATTAACAAAATAAAGCAAAATTTAGCAAATTTATTGAAGTGATCAACTCACAAAGGTGAACAAATTTTTATTCTGATTTAAGAAGTGATTGTATTTTTATCAATAATTTTCAATATAATCTGCTTTATAATATGTCCACTAAAAAGATATTGAGACATCATGTGTGTGGCATTATATATTGCTATTAATATTAACATTATATTATACCCAATGTTTTGATGAAGTTCTGCAATTTGATTGGCTGAGGGAACTAGTACTTAGTTTTAATAGTAGTACTTAAATTTATTATTATAATAGCTGTTACCATGAAGAGAAAATAATTAAAATGGTCAAATTGTATTGTAACATAAACAAATGATAACTTGTTCTGTATGCGAGATAAATGTCACTCGTACATTTGAAGATTCTCTCATGATTCACTAGTTGTTTATGCTTTAAAGTATCACTTGATATTTATGTTATATAACACCGCTTTTCCTAATCAAAAAACAGTGATAATTATTTGTTATCATCAGCTGCTAGCATCGCATTGAATTGAAAAGATTGAAAGCCATCATGACAATGACTTTCCATGTTTTTATGACAAACATAAAAAACAACAATTAATTATCATGTGTGAATATTCATAACATTTTGAATATCAGACTCAGAAAAATTGTATATTTTACAATAATCTAGAAATGTATCTAGATAGCATGTTATTATGATGTGCTCTTGCTTTATACCATTATAAGTTTATCTAGAGTAAATCTTGTTTCACCAAGATGAAATAATTTGAAAAATAATTACCTCATGTAAACAAATCAGATAACATCGAAATATTGAGAATTGAACCCTTATGAAAAAAGAATTTTATATTAAAAATGATTTGGTGGGATGTTTACTATTCATTGTCATTCAAGCACCAAATCTGAGAGCAAATTAGGTCAAAATAAGACTTTGATAAGCATCTTTGTCATATTTAGTTCTATATGATATTGATTTTTGTCTAATGCTTTTTAATAATTCTGTTTTCAATAAAGAAATAGTAAGATTTGTCAAATTATCCAAGTATAGTGAGCCAAACAATAAAAGTCAGGAAATACTGCTCAATTTATACATCAACAACAACAGCAACAACAACAACAGCATTCATATAAACTTAAACATTTTTTCAAAAATCAAATGTTTATTATTAACCCTAGTATTGACTTTGACATGAATTATGTACCTTAAGGACAACATACTTCACCAAATACTTCAGTTACTATAGCAACTATACGTGATGCCAGGTGATGTGGTAAACACATTTTCAAGTGTCCATTTTCATTGGTTCAGACTTCTAGTGCTCAATAACAATGGCAATTTCTTTATTAACACCTTACTTAAAAAACTAAATTATATTAGAAACCCACAGCAGTATAATACTAGTATTGTCAGCTAATTGAAATAACTCAGCAAAGCTATACAAGTCAGTTAGTAATCAATGTTTCATGTAATTCCAGTTATAGTYATTGGGTGCAGCGTGGCTGGTATTGCAGGTCTTGGATTGGCTGGCTACTGCTGGTATAAGTAAGTATACCTGTATTAATTTGATTGAAATGATGTATTCTTTGAATATATTGGTAGGGTTTTTGATTGCAAATAATCCTGCCTCATGCAAGTCTGCAATTCTGTGTTATTGAGAATTGACTGATGTTCTTTCTGTGCATTTCAAGAGAACATTTCAACTTGCAAAATACCAATACCTTTAATTAATTCAAGACATTTAAAATCATTAAACATTCTGAAGATAGTGTAGTCCTATACAAAATTGTTGATCCTTAAAAAAAGGGTTTTCACTGTTTTAAGAGCAAGTAYGCCTGCAAGCTCTGTACGTTCTGTACCTGATGAAAGCAATTTAGTTTGGAATTGTCATTTTGTAACAATATTTTTGTTGAATCCAACAACAACAAYCCATTTCAGTCCTAAAATATTTCAATGTTCAGTGCACAATGTTTTTTAGACCCCAGTTAACCAGTATATTATTTATTCATTTATTCGCATCAGTTCATCATTTGTTTGCTCATCTGTCCATTTGTTCATTCATGTATTTATTTGTATTTATTTGTATTTGTAATTACAGACTTCATACTACAGCTAAAGCTGTAAGTGAATCAGAATATACAGGGTACGGTATGAAGGGATCCACAAAACGACCTCCATCTTTACATGTAAGCATTGTTCTAGTATTATAGCTTCTTATGCTAAGTACATCATTAAGATTTAATATAAAATGACCTCCATCTTTACATGCAAGCACTGCTCTGACTTGTATTATAGCTTCCAACGCTAGTACATCATTAAGATTTAATATACGTGATCTTATGACAACTGTTAATATTTCTAGGGTGATGACAAGTTAGACTACAATGCTGAAATGTACCATTATCATCAAACTAAAAGTCAGTTGGCTGCTATGGAAAAGTAAGCAAG